AGAAGTTGAACTCGATTGGAAAATGTTTCAGTCAGATGGAGACTATCTATGGGAAAAATCTAACCGAGGAAGTCGTGGAAGCAGAAGATAAGAAGCAGAAAGATCCGTTCATATCGATGGCACATGATCTTCAATATGAAAAAACGGTGAGTGTATCAATGTTTATGAAGACCTGTATGAAACACATCATATAATGTCTCATTTTCCTACGTCGTATGTGAAAGATCTGAATTTTTATTTAGCAAGTGCAACTTAAGGTATATTACAGCTAGCAAGGTCCTCGCCGGTTTTAGAGAGATTCCAATTAATAAAGAACTAATGAAAAACCTTCAAGAGAGCATATGGTTCACTGCGACTAAAATGTTCCTGCCCTCATGCTTTCCTCCGACCAATACATGAGATATAAGACGCTTAATTCTGCAAACTTTGAAAATTAAATGCTCATTATCGCCCATGGCCCAAAGGTAATCATGTTTATAATCCCTTCTAAAGTAATTCTGAACACCAAGACTTAGGAGAGCATTGAAAACTGACTTGTCTTGCGTAAAGCTGTGAAATGTGAACGTTCTAATCAGTTTAGATAATGCAGTTTACATGAATTGATATTATGGGACTTAAAACTGTTCGGAGGAGACGAAAAAGGTGATAACTAATGAAGGCCTGACAACTCGCATACAATTGGATAGTGTATGAAAATCATGGGGAGGATGAAAGATATTGCGTTTCTTGGGCTTCACTGTTCGCAAAAAGTTGACTAGAGAAGAGGTTTCTAATTCTAGCAAATTATTGTCAGTCCTCCGTAATTGCCTCATGACCAGGAATAAATGATGATTGAAGTCTGAGATGGAACTGCTTCTCGAACAAAAGAGTCGAAACAGCGACTTTGCAGCTCCAAGTAATACAAAAGGCGTGTAACTTCTCAGGAAACGCTGAGAACCTTATTCTCGAAAGAAGGAGATTTTGGTGCAAATATGGAGTTTTACCTCATCCCTTAGATTTTTCAATGTATCTTTTCAAGCTAACAACCACTTTAAAATATTTTTTTAAATTTTAGTTACCTTGACTTAAGTTAACTTTGACTGCTCGCATTTTAAACAATAATTGCAATGCCAGGTCCCACATACGCCACTCTTTCGTGTTGTACACATGTCAACTAATTCGGACTGATGGGCGAAATTCTCATGATTTGAGGGAATTCCTTCGTATTGCTTGACATTTTCTTAGTCTATTGTACTACTGGGGTTGACTCTGAGGCATATTCTATGAACTGAACTAGACAGCATTTGAACTATGTGTATTACTGAAAGTATTGATTCATGTGTCAAGAGCAAGATGTGTAATACACACATATTCGCGTAATATACGAATGTATAGTCATGTGTAATACAACTTTTCGTGTAATACGCCTATTATATCTGTCATTTTTGGCTGGGAGCTACATTGAATGTTCCTCCAAAGAATGATGGTAGCTTCTTAGTTTACCCAATCCGTTAACACTTTTTAGTATCATTGAATATGTATCAATAATTAGGTAACAAAAATCGCTAAAAATCGAAAATATTCATTTGTGAAAAAATCACTAATTTCTTGAAAGCTGTTTCCCTTAGGACATTTTTTAGGATTCCAACTACAAAATTTGTCGATTCCATTAGTATTTGAGCCATCTATGAGAAATATTGTTTGGAAAAAGTTCATTTTTTGCACTTTTGCGGCCATATTGTACCTCATTAACAAAAATTATGTAAATTATCTCCATAAACGCAATATTTCTAAAATTCTATTTTATATAGCCAGTTTAGCTTCTGGGAAGGAATAGAGATGGAAAAAGTTGCCTTAAAGTAGGTCTGCTACCTTAAAAGGTGTAGCCCCTCGCGTATAGAACAATGAAAAGTATAAATCCTTCAAGGGGTATTATTAAAAATATTCTGATGAAAATTATAATGCAGTAATGCCAATGCTCAAGGGAAACGTAAAGTATAGTATGCTCGTTCAGAGGCGGGTTGAATCGCGTTTTCCCCCGAAAAGTAACGCAGGTGGAACATGCTTAATCACAATAGCCGCGACATTCAGTAAAATTGCTTATGTTCATGCTTATGATAACGGGTTTCTAGGAACGTAGACCAGAGAAAGGGAATCCCATGAAATATTATCGAAGTCGATAGTTTGGGTTAAGACGTCACGAGTTTATCTCCACTCTTCATATTATCATTATTTACGATGCAACGAACACAGGGGAAGTTCATCTTAGGCTGGGAATTACACCAAAATAGTAGTCATTTGATTGATTTTGGAATATATTTCGATTATTAGTCTTATTTTGTTCGCGCTTACTTAACCATTGGGTACATTTATCTATAAAGATCGAACGTTAAATCCAATACCATTTCATTGTCTTTACTATAATATACTTTGCCTGAATTTTATGGATGCATGATATTCTTTTCTAAGTCATAATGCATCATTTCATGAGCTAAAATGTCTAAATTTCAATTATTAGTTGCCCTATTTTGTTGCCAGCAATGTTTACCGTTGCATACTTGTGAAAGACAGACATACTAAGTTTCTTGTGTTACGAACAATTGATTTTCATGTTTGCACTGGCAGAAGGGAAGCATTAGTTCTCGCATCACTGGTAAATTGGGTAAATCGGGTGGCATCCGCATGCACAAATAAGTCCTTCGATTGGTTCGATCCACATGCGAATTATTAGAATTCAGAGTTGCAATATTCAGAGTGAAAGGCACATGATTAAAATCTGCTGCACCTATTTTTTTTGGGTTTTGCTAGTTCCCCATTCCTTTCTTTATGGTGCACCTGTTCAGCCTACTTTATTCAGAGTTACAGAATTTAATAGCATGTAGATTAATGGTTACTTTATAGTTACCACAGAAGAGTTCCTACAATATTAACTATTTTTCACTGCACGCAAATCGCTTGGTGATGCCCGATATATATTCCCATTCTCATCACCTTGGGCAAAAAAATCCAAGGCGAGATAAATGCTCAAAAATACTAATAATATAGGTTTGAGCGGGACTGTGCCTCATGAGGATGATGCTCGTCTCTCTCCTCGTTAGGAGTTTTTCCTAAGTATTTACCCCTTTAAATATATTATCTCTTTCTCTCCACGAACGCTGTTTCGAAAAGTTCACTCTACTAATTTCGCTGGCATATCTTCCTCATCTGTTGCCTGTTGGTGTCTGCTACTGATGGGAAATTCATGCGCAGCACTGATTAAAAAAGGACACGATTTTAAGAAAGGATCTTAGAAGCTCCAGTAATCACTGCTTCTATGAACACAGCAGGAGGCGTTTTCACATGATAAGGAAGAGTCTGAAAACGGAGAAAGAAGTTGTTCAAATGTCATGCCTTCAAAAATCCTGAAGAACTCGGCATCAAAAGGGCGTCAAAGGAAGGCATTCAAACGCTCCAATGTTGAACGTAAAAGCGGCAAAACCACATTGGCTGAAGAAATGAAGAAGATGGCTAAACTTTGCCAAAAAGGGCGAGATGGAAAACCAGATATCTACGAGCTTCCGAAGTTACCGGAACTACATCATGAGAATGGAGCAGTCGTCAAATACTACATCGGACCTGTTCGTCCCGGGACCGACAGCGAATGCAGAGTACTCTTGGTTGTTGGAAAAACAGGAGCAGGTATGAGACCGAGTTGTGTAATACGTAGGTTATGAAATGGTGTTCTGGTCTTTTAAATTTATTTGAAATTTTTAGATATTCAGCTCTAGAGCAGTGATCTGTATTTCTAAGCCCACTGTGTACCAGACTCGCATTGATGATAACTTTAATTCTTCTTTCTTCTACCTTGTGTGTGCATTCGGAGGCTTCAATAGCCTGATATAGGAGATTTGTCCCCATTTTCGGGAAAGACTGCTTCTTGAAAGGAGTCACATTTTCAACGCCAAATATGAATTTCCACTACTATAACCCTTTCTATTCCTAACGTTATATATGGCTTCGCAATTTCTCTCTTACATGAAATCCGAATTATTTCCCGTTTGGAGCATGTATTCGAAGGTGTTCGAAATGTATATCTGAGAAATAGAATTGCAATATACAAGTAGTGCTCAATAGGCTCTTGAGCTACCAGCCTTGGACCATTGATTTTTGAACGATATGTGAAACGATTAATAGTGTCAGAAACGCGATGTTCCTCTGCGAAATTAGAAGCTTGTAGCTATTCTGATGCACGAGTAATAATGTGATATATTGTCACATTACTGAACTTATATTTTCAAGTGTGAGCATCAGTCTATGATTTGCGTGAGAAGTCGCTACATTTGGCAAGAGAAAATGTCCCAATTTCCGATGGTCCCGGATGAGGGTTACCCCTGTCCCTTCCACATTTTCTTCATTCGGACCAGGAGTTCCCTGGGAAAAGCGTGATAGGGAATCGCAAATGGGTTGATTGGATAGATGCCACAAGCTCTGGCCATGCGTCCCCGAGAAGACCTTAGAATTCCAGATAAGAAAATGCTTTTCCTCTTTGGTTTTTCACACAGGAAGGAGCTACTTTGCATAAGTAATTCTTAAGAGGCATGAAAATATATCGATCAGTTGCCTGTAGCCAATGGTGTGTATGTGGAGGTAGACATAGCAAATGGATTCGGTGATCCTTGACGCACTACAGGAGGTAGGGATCAGTTGCATGGGCAACTGTCATGGTCATCTACAATTAGAAGGACTGGCATTTCAGCTGTTCAGTGAACTGCAACAACAAGGAACACCAGAAACTCAAGAAACAGAGCTGTGATAAGTAGCGGCTCTCACTGAACTTTAGCATGGAACCTAGAGGCAGGCGTTCACCTAGCTCTCGCCTGTGTCGCTTTCCTTTGAAAATACCAAATTGAGGCAGGTACCCGCTGCACTGCAACAAGCAATAATTATG